TTTTTTTCCACATCAATCTACACTCCATACACCATATTGACAAAGCAAAAACAGAAATGTCACAACTTCGTACATTTATTTTAAAAAAAAATAAGTGCATTGTATAAGTATTCACTAAACATTTAGCTGAAGCACCTTTACAGTCTTAAGTATTTTTTGTTTGGTGCCGACAAGTTTTGCTCATCAGTTTTTGGCCACTTTACTTTTGGGATGGTACTCTGCAGGTGCTGAGCAGAGCTGGTTTACTTCAAACATGATATTTGGAATTGAGGTTCATCAGACCAGATAATCTTGTTTCTCAGTGTCTGAGGGTCCTTTAGGTGCTTTTTTGCATATTCCAAGTGTGTTTTTATGTGTCTTCACTGTGGAGAGGATTGAGTTTGGCCACACTGCCATAAAGCCCAGATCGGTGGAGTGTTGCAGTGATGTTTATCCTTCTGTAGATTTCTCCTATCTCCACATATGATCATGGAGCTCAACTAGAGTGACCATCAGGTTCTTGGTCATCATGTGTCTTCACTGAGGAGAAGATTGAGTCTGGCCACTCCGACATAAAGCCCAGATTGGTGGAGTGTTGCAGTGATGTCTATCTCCACATATGATCATGAAGCTCAACTAGAGTGACCATCAGGTTCTTGGTCACCACTCCAACGAAAACGCTTCTCCATCAATTGCTCAGTTTGGCCAGGAGGCCATCTCTAGGAAGAGTCCTGGTTGTTTCAAACTTCTTCCATTAAGGGTAACAGAGACTACATGCTTCTGTGACCCTTCAATGAAGCAGAATTTTTTTCTGAACTCTTCCACAGATGTGTGGCTTAACGCAAACCTGTTTCTGAGCGCTACGGGCAGTTCTTTTGACTTCAGGGCTTGGTTTTTGCTCTGATATGCATTATCAGCTGTTAGACCTTTTATTAAGACGTGTATGCCTTTCCAAACCATACCCATTCAATTGAATTTGCCACAGGTTAAATTCACTCGAAGTGTAATAACATCTACAAGCAATATGAATGCTCCTGAGCGCAAAGTTTTTTTTTTTTTAATATAAATTTGCAAAGATGTTAAAAACCAGTTTTTTTGCTTTACCATTATAGTGTATGGAGTGTATACTGATGTGGGAAAAAAAGTCATTTAAAACAGTAAAAGATAAGGCAGCAACATAAAACTAACAGAGACTACATGCTTCTGTGACCCTTCAATGAAGCAGAATTTTTTTCTGAACTCTTCCACAGATGTGTGGCTTAACGCAAACCTGTTTCTGAGCGCTACGGGCAGTTCTTTTGACTTCAGGGCTTGGTTTTTGCTCTGATATGCATTATCAGCTGTTAGACCTTTTATTAAGACGTGTATGCCTTTCCAAACCATACCCATTCAATTGAATTTGCCACAGGTTAATTTCACTCGAAGTGTAATAACATCTACAAGCAATATGAATGCTCCTGAGCGCAAAGTTTTTTTTTTTTTATATAAATTTGCAAAGATGTTAAAAACCAGTTTTTTTGCTTTACCATTATAGTGTATGGAGTGTATACTGATGTGGGGAAAAAAAGTCATTTAAAACAGTAAAAGATAAGGCAGCAACATAAAACGTGAAAAAAATTAAGGGGTATGAATACTTTTGCAAGGCACTGTATATATTTATATGTGTGTGTGTGTGCGCGTGTATGTATGTATTTATATGAAGAGTTAATTTGCAAAAACAGATAAAAAGTTTAAAAAATCATAGTTTTTCATTGTGCATTCCAATTAATCTCAATCAAACTGCAGTCGGGTTATTTTGATTAGGTAAAAAAATAACTAACAAATAAAGCTTACTAACACATAAAACACAATAAAAACATGACAACATAATAAAAAACATGATTTTTAAAAATGTAATAAAATGGAGTTTATATATATATATATATATTTTTTTTTTTTTTTTTGATGTTCTGAAATAATACATAATAAAATAATTACACATTTCTGGACTAACTTACAGTTGTCTAGACTAGAGGAACGTATTTTAACATTTAAAAAAGTATACATTTCGCTTTTAAAGTGAAGGACAGATCATTATCCAGAAGTAAATAAAAGCATACTAAACCTTGTTCATAATGGCCAGCAGCTCACTAAGAGCCAGTCTGAGTCTCCTGAGAGGATCACTGTGCTCAAACTCCAGAGTCAAACCATGCTGCAGTTGAGAGACCAGGATGCTCTCGCCATTAGAGCCACCAGCCTTATGCCTGTAAAGAGAAAATATAATTAGAATCATCGGATATTTAAGCAAAATTCCCTCCAAAACACCTCTCTCAATTTCTCAGAGCACTTCTGAGAAAGACTAACTTATCTGATTTATTATGCCAATGAACAGAATCTATAGAACGGCCACATGAAAGCAATTTCTAGCTTCTGAACTCACCTCAGCTGCTGCTCTTTTCTAGCGTCCTGCTCCAGAGCATGGAAATCCACAGACAGCAGTGCAACAATGGAGTTTACCGCCTCCACCCCTGACAGCAGTCGCAGGATTAGCTTCTTGTCCTGTGCCCAGGCGTTACTCTGATCTGCAGGGGCACACAGAGCCATCCTCACCAGACAGGGCAGTAGGAGCCGCAGCTCTGGGTCACTTAAAGCTGCTAGTCTGGCCACATCTACCTTCTGCATGGCCTCAAATGCATATGGGCTCACAAACTGAAGACTGACACTGTCTGCCATTCTGCTGCAAAGAATGAAAGGGAAAGACAAAGAAAGTAAACATTTTAGATTAAAAAAAGTTTATAATAACCATACTTTACATAATATTAGTTAGTACACAACTATTGATATTACTGTAAAATCATAATAATAAATGACTACGGGATTTATTAATTTTTTTCACTGAAGTATAGCTGTCATTTTGTTTCATTTATTTTTTGATGCCATTTGTGACTAAACCCTACACCAAAAACAGCACTGTGGTATTAACATGACTTACAATGTTAAACCTATGTTCTGGACATGCACTATGGTAATGCTATGCTATATTTTAAGTATATAGTAAAAGTCTGTAAATACTATAGAATATGAATATGGTAATAAAACAATCCCATGGTATAATAGTGAGTATACTTCGATTTTAGGTGTATTTATAAAAATGTATATTCACGTTTTAACATTTGTTGCTCCAAAAAAACATTTAAAATACTATTTAAAACACTTTCGAATGCTCACTGTGGAGAGAACTGCCCTCAGATGCACAGCACAATGAAATACAAAGTTATATTTAACGTATCAAACTCTTTAGCTTGCGCGTTAATTTATCAGAATCTAATAAAATTGTATTTTGTATCATTAGGGACCGTGGAACAGTAGTGGAACCGACTTACCTGAAGTTTACCAGAGCCGCTGGCTACTGCAGAAACACAAGCCCCGATGAGGCCCGCGAGACCGCGGTCTTTCGTGATTCTCACGCCTACAGGAAGTTGAGCGTCGTCGGTTAAGATAGTAGAATTCAGCGGAAAGCTAACAGGCTAGCTGCTAGAGCTAATAAAAAGAGATCCATTCATCAAGATGTAACTTTGAAGCACTATAATTCCAATATTAATATTTGTATGCTTCACATAATTGACTTATTCTGCATAAAACCATCTACGTCCCACAGACTGTTTACTGACAGCAAGCTAAAAGGTAGAATGGTGAATTGTTTTAGCACAAGCGCTCGTCTACCTTCGGTGTGCATGCTGAACTCTGACTGCGTCTCAAACCCTAGTGAGCCGCCTACCTAGACACCATTGTTTTGCCATCACTGGCGTGTTCATAGTTAAATTCTCTTAACAGCGCAATAAATATGGAACATTTACAATAAAGATAAAAATAATTTTTACATAAATAAAATTCCATCTGGTCTGTGATGCCAAATATGCCATCTATGAAAACAGCTCTCTTGGGTTTGAGACACAAACCATGAGAGAACAACGGAGACTCATTTAACCATTAAATGGTAGCTGCAAGTAAGTTAGCAAGGTCAGTTTTTTCGGAAACATTTTTCTGTTGTATTACAGATAATCATAATTATTTAATTATAGAACATGTATTTTTTTTTAACCTTTTATGGCGTTTGCTTTTATTAAAATTAGCACAGTAAATGTGGCCTGCATGTGGTATTTGTGTTCATATTTACTAGTTATAGTAATTATATTTTAAATGTAGCATTCATAGTAAGACCACAGTATACACAGGTGCAACCTACACAAGAATGGTTAGATCAATGTAATTATATTTTTTCATTAAACAAAATATGGTATTTGTTATGAAAACAGTAACTGCAAACACATTTTACAGTGGCAGTTTGCAAATATCATTGTTAAATTATTACTAGGCCAATGATTACCAATATTTCCTTGAAATATGAATGCTTCCCTTGAACTTCTATAGCTGATTTTCACAAAGGGTAAACTGTGAAACCATCACACATGCAGTCAGTGTAAACTCTTGCTTTGACCCTATAGCTCTTTACATGCTGTAACTCACACACTTGCATTTTGGAAAGGATGTAGAACTGGTGTGGGAGGTAAGAGAAATCCCAGGGTCTTTGAATATCAGCATACAGTTTATTCTGAACAGAGTAAGATACAGGAAATAGATCTTTCTCTGTGCACAAACACTGCATTTCCAACAGGCACCCAGATCTGGTTGTAAAGTCCATTTACACCACATTTCTTTGTCACACTCAGAGAAAAGTGATTTTGGTCTAAAAGTGTCCATTATCACTCAGAAATGGTGCAAGCAGGAGAGCCAATCAGGGAGGGCGAGGTGAAGTGAAATGAAATGGATGAACTTTTAAAGGGGGGCTAGAAGCATTATTTTAGATCTTTGTTATCTTCATCAAAGCCGCAAGTCTCCTTCACAACAATCGGATTTTGGATTTCACATCACAGTCCCTCCCCCCAAAAAACACAAGCACAGGAAAAACATGAAGTTGACTTTTTATTCCTAAAACAGAAGCAGTGCCACCCAAGGCTGGAGCGGCATTCATATATAATTATTTATATATTGCAGTTTTTCGTTTTTGTGTCTAAATGTGTGGTATAAAATACAATATACGACAATGTACCTCTTTATTTTTAAACACAGTGAACTTCATTGCTGTACAAGTCCCGTGCAGCTAAAGCTTAGCTGTAATTGTGTCCACACGCAAAGACGTGGACAGACACCCCCATCCGGTCTCCTCTGTACATCGTGACAATACAAATAATCTGTCTCCCTTACAAAAAATAATACTCTAAAAGCAACCTACCGCAACTTTATTTTATTCATCTTTTTAGTGGGTTTTTGTTGGTTTGTTTTTGTAATTAAGACGAGTACATATATTTTTGACCAATTGCTTTAAAGCAGGAAGGCGATACAAACCTTCTAGAACTTTTATATATAAAAGAGGTTAAGAAATCAGACAAATTATACATTAAAAACTTACAATAAATAAGACAGATGCAGGCATTTCGTTTGGATATAATCCCATCCAAAAGAAACAGGGAATTAGAGGTCTTAAAACCAAGAATTCATTCTCTCATTTCATAGAGCATCAAAGTCCCTTTCCATCAGAATCTATACAGGTTACTTCTCCATACACATCGATTATAGAACTGGCCGAATCCATGCTAACTGAGGAGCTACCGTCGTAGTAGCCGTGGATCCAGGGATGTAGAACACCACCAGTCAGCACTTCCGTCTTCCTTCTTTGGCCTCCACGCTGCCGATTACTCATCCAAGGCCTTTATTTCTCCTATTTTTCTCTTTGAGTGAGTGTTATAAACACCAGACGCCTGATTCTCCTCCACAGTGCTGGGTCTCAGGTGTAGTGACGGCCTACCCAGATCATCTCCGCTGTAACTCGCGTACATATAAAGTCCAGCACTGTAGTTATCTGTTGGGTTGTTTTCAGATCCACCTTTTCTTCACTCTCCTCTTTTCGTTCCCTGATAAGGTCCTGCTCTCAGTTCTGCTCTGCGAGTGTTACAACATGGTCATAATGAAGTTGTACATTTGATTGAGCACCACAAAATGGATGGGAAGGCAAGAGCGGCGGTCCTGGGTCGCAGGGTCACAGGTCAGCCAGGAAAGGGCGTTGTACTGCTCCAACACAAATCTGTGAAGGAAAAACATTTTGGAATATTCAGCATTCGCTATCATTAAACTGAATTATATCACTTCCCGGACACTTAGAGGAACATTACCTGAGAACATCAGAGGTCTGACTGGAGTCCAGAGGGTGAGTGTGTTTGCTGTGCAAAAGTTCATCCGATTGCACTGAAGACACATGGAGGTGTAGAGAGGCCTGGGAGTTGGGAAAGAGAGAGGCAAGAAGAAATTTTCAGTCGACAGAATCCATTAATCTACGCCCACCCAAAACAAGCTACAAAGCCGAACATTTCCTCTCATTGTCAGGGCCTGTTATGAATTAAATCGACAAGCCCATGAACGAGTAAACACGAGATGCCAAAAACATTCATACCCCCGTTTATGGTTTCCTTTATTAGGGAACGGTTTGCTCCAGACTTTTTAATTGTGTACAAGTCAGCAATAAACAAACAGCTGCTTATCAAATCAAATGCTTTGCCTTAATAATTCATGTCAACACATTTTGCGAGCTCAAATGTTTCTCTCCTGCTCTCTCTTATACACACCAACAGCAGTCTGGCCCAATCCCTGAGTACTGAATTATTTAAAAATCCCCCATTGCAGGATTCTCTATAAATCCTGCATGAGGAGGAAACAAAAGGTCATGTGACCTGGATAAAGCATGACAGGTAGATGGGTGCAGTATCACACTGCTTTCTGAAGAAAATGACATTCTGAACGTTTTGTTGGCTCTGCATATAGTCTAATATCCATTTTGCACATTTACAGTATTCATTAGGGGTTGAATCAAGTTTTGCTAAGGAAATTTGATGCAATAATGTACAAATCCCAAGAGAAAAATGTCTGAATTATGAGCAAGGAGCAATTACCTTTAAGAAAAGGGGACACTGGCTCTGTGCCTGAGGACACGCGGACCAGAACCAGTCAGGCAGTGGACCTGCTTTAGCCGTGGACACAAAATAGCCCAGAGCTAATGGCTGCTGGAGGATATTGGGAGCTTCTTCATGAGACTCCATGCGGTCTGTACTTTGACCCTAAAAAAGAAGAAAAGATAGAGATGAGCTCCAAAAAATACAAAACAGAAAGGAAAAAAAAGACACTTTTATATGAGAGTTACAAGAAAGTGAGCAACAATCACTCTCAGTAAATCAGTACTACTCTCAGTGCCTCTCTTAGCTTTCATTAAATATATCTTAATTTGTGTTTTGAAGATTAACTGAAGTCTTTTGTGTTTAGAACGATGTGAGTAAATGACTATTTTTACGTGAAATGTCCCTTTAAAACCTTAAAAAGCTCAAAGAGTTTTGTCTTTTATTCTAACAACTCATTTTAACTGAAAAGTCTGCTAGTCAAAGTTCATGCCATTTCTCTTAACATGCTGGTTATTTGTTCCTTTTAGTGGTCAATCTCAGCTACCTTGCTCCCATCTCCTCCGTGGGGGTACTGGGATCCAGGTGAGTGGACTGGTGACGTGGTGGGTGAGGCAGGAAGGATATTTATGATGTCAGGATCAACCAGGTCATTCTCCTGCTCCAGAAGGTAAAAGATGCCTCCCATTGGATCTGATCCATCTGGAAATGAAGCAAGGATTCAGTATAATTTATTTGCATTGGCATGCAACTTAATTCATATGGCAAAATCTTCAAGTTGGGCAAAAACACAAACTACCAAGTAAATAGACTGGAAATAAGACAGTGTTGTTCCTCACCATTGCCAGGGTTGAAGGCAATGTCAATGTTCTCATGTGGGTAGTTGGAGCTGTTGACTTGCACAGAATTATCGTCATTGATATTGTTATCGTAATAAATAGCAGAAATATCGTGATATATTATTGAGCCCTTATCGCCCATCCCTACAAACAACTACAGCAGTGAAGGGTATGAAGAATATTTTTATATTTTATATGTTTAATTATCTTATTCCAATCCGGTTTAAAATGCATTTTAATATTAAGTCTGGAGAGTTTTCAGAAAAGCGTCATTATTTTTACAATTCCCTTTTGTGCCACAAATAGAGCAGAAACTAACTATGCACACTAATTACAGCTAATGCATCAAACTAGCCATAAAAAATAAGGACGACAACATGCACACCATACGGAGAGTAACAGGAAGTGTGATTCTACCTGGCATGATGACAAATGAGCCCTGGGGTTCCATGGCAACCAGGCAGGCGCTAAGGATGCTGGGAGTGTCAGCTGCTGAGATCCCGCACAGCTTGCAATTCTCCTTCAGCCTCCGAGACACTGACTGCAGATTCCGTTTGCTCAGTAAAATACTCCAGTCTGAGAGAGGAAAAAATAATCAAATTCATTCCTATGTGCAAAAAATGCGTCCACTGGATGTGCACTCCAGGATGCTGATCAGTCAATTGGCTAGAAGAATGCCACTTAATGAATTTCCCTTATTTTAATAAAACTACAATGTTATAATTAATAATAATAATAATACATTTATGTAGCAATCATTTTATAAAAGCAGTAAGCACTAGAGTCAAAACTATGAATACTCTCAAGGTTAAAGGCCTAAAAACCATTTACATGGGCATTACCTCGCAACTCTCCATGCCCTATTCGTCCAAGCCGGCCAATCACCACTCTCCATGGCAATGATGTCATCTGAACCAAACCTAGACACCAATCCCAAAGCTTTTGTAGGCCCAGCTTCCGGGCAGATCCCTTTTTCCTTCTTGCTCTGAGATGACAAAAACAGAAACATTTAAAACCTCTAGTCACAATCCTTAAACTAGTTAAATATGTAAATTTGTTATACTTAAAATGTACATCATCATGGAGATGACAGTAAAAGTGTTACAAAGGTGTCCGGTCTCTCACTTGTCATGGCTATGCTGGTGATAATGGTAAAGTGTTGAGTGAGTAATTAATTCTGCATACTTTACAAACCACCTGCATATCGCACAATGCTACTGAGTGAGGACGTTTTTTGTAGTTCACCTGTTGGGTACGTCTATGCTGATGATACAGGTTTCCAGCAGCTCTCCGTACAGGTCCGTACAGGTGGCCAACAGCCATCTTTGATCATGTGACAGGCAGTAGCCCACAAACAGGACGTTATACTTCTGAGACGCCTCTCCGAAAGTCTCACCCAGCTCAGTTTGCTTGTCTTTCGTTGGGGCCAGGATGAAGGGTGGCGTGTACAATCGCAGACACTCCGGTCTCTGTGGCAAGAAAGTCATATGTTAATGGAAAATAGTGGCATAACTTAAGTTGACACTTTTTCCCCCTATAAAAACAGCAAAGATCAGGATAAGAGGACAAAAGTGAAGGGCCTAAGGTCAAACCATCAGCCTCATACCCGGGCATGTCAACATAACCTTTTCCTCTCTTATGAAATCAATAAACCCCACCGAGTAGTCACATCTCTTTTGTGAGTGGGGAAGGAAGTGGGGTGGGAGAAACGGTGCTAGTGAGCGTAGCAAGAAAATTGGATTCTACAAATAGCTCGGTGAAGAAAGGAGAGCAAGTGGAGCTTTCGGATTCCTCTGCCAAAACATGCAAGCCGGATCCCATTAGGGAGGTCTCACGGAGCTGCCCAAGCAGATAATGGAAAGAGAACTGTTGGGTTGTGCGAGTCCCCTTTGGTTTTGTTCCAGGACAGGGAGGTCAGTGTAACAGTCTCCACACGTCACCGAGTTCTCATACAGCTCTGAGAGCCGTTAAAGAGCCTGAATGGGCTGCCAGGGCGGGAGCTATGGAGGAGGTCAGAACCATGGGCTCTGGGAGCCTCAAATAAGGGTGTTCATTCTGACACTGCTGGCACTGGGGACTGACACTTTAACACGTCAGTCTGGAGCATTGACGGACCTTTAGCAATGCTAATGTGTATTTTTTTTTTATATTTAAGGTGCTTTGGAGACTGTCTGAGCTACCCATTTCTATAAAACAAAAAAGGGAACTGCTTTTGAATTTGTCAACCAATCGATCTGCTGAACCTTACTCACATCTGGGTTCCTGAGGGAAGTGTCGAGGGCGAGGCCGGGGCCGAAACCCGTCAGTGATTTCACATTGGTGGAGGTTGGGAGGGGTCTTCTGCACTGGGTGAAGACGGAGAAGGCCAGAGACTTGAGGTGCTGGGCGTAGAGGTACCTCTCTTCACTCCTCACAGGCTGGAGCAAGTACTGACAGGGGACAATCTAAGAACACAAAGTGCACAGATGTAAAACAGTGATTTGTTTCACTATTTTCTTTACATCTTATCTGCTGTTCTTTCCTATAGGTGTCTATTTGAGACCGAAGGAAATGAAGTCACACTAGATCAGTGGTTCTGGACTTCAAGGTCCCCCATTTTTCACAACAATATTTGCACAACATTCCTAGTTTCTATACATTAAACTGCAGGATTCCAGAAGTTTGAAGAGCTAAATGTTCTTCAGGGTTCCCACTCTCATTAACCAATGAATTTAAATAACTTTTCCAGTTGTTCATAATTCACTGGATAAGAATGATTTTTTTTTACCCACAATTCACAAAAATTTGACAACTTGGCATAACTACAAAAACATATATTCGTTATAAAAGTACCCATGGAATTGTATTTAATTAATTACTTAGAAACACTTTTAAAACTAGGGTTCATATATCCAGGTTGAAAACAATGGGAACCCTAGTTATTCAAAGAAAAAAAGAGGAGTGAATTTAAAATATATATATATTTTTGTTGTTGTTTTTAGCAGATTTTAATGCTTGTTTTATCTTATTTCAAATAACTGAAAGTCATCTTGGGGCCCCCTAGTTGTGAACCACTGCACTAGAATTTTTGCTGCATTGGGGTCATCCGATGCCCATTTTCCACAAGTTGATATGATTCTTTAGGGTCTTAAAGGGGTCATATGATGCGATTTCAATTTTTCCTTTCTCTTTGGAGTGTTACAAGCTCTTGGTGCATAAAGAAGATCTGTAAAGTTGCAAACACTAAAGTCTCAAAACCAAAGAGATATTCTTTATAAAAGTTATGAGTTAACCACGCCTACCTAAAACGGCTCGTTCTGGCTCAGATGTCGGGAGTAAATGACGACTGCTATGTTCATTATTACATCCAACAACAAACACCTCAATCGCTTAGGAGACATTCTTGTCTACATCTGCTCTGGCGGTGAAACAATGGCGGACTGATGACAGCTCACCCAGGGCGGGTCTAAGGTAAGACACCAAGTCCAGTCTGTGCTGAAATGCTACTGTCAATCAAACTATCGTGGGAGGGGCCTGTTTTTGTGTCATCACACAGACAGGCATCCGAGACCGGCTCGATTTGAGAAAGGGGTAAAGATTTTAGTAGATTAAAAAAAAAACACTGAGTGGATTTTTATCATTATAGGGTGGTTGTGTACACACTGCCAACACACATTTCAGTTCAAACAACTTGTAAAAGTGCATGTAGCATCGGATGACCCCTTTAAAGATGTGTCCAACTGTAAAGGATGTCTAGTATCATCTGCTGTACCTACCTGTACAAACACAGAGTTGCGGATGTGAGCTGGAAGGGCCTGCAGCATCTCCAGGTAGCAGCGGAGGAGTCCCAGCGTCCACATGCTTGATTGTGACGCCCCTGGCTCCGCCTCCTCATATGAGAAGGGGTCCACAATATAGATCATGATGGCAGGTGGGTACGTGATGGCATGGGAATCTCCATCTGTAGGAACTCCGACCTTTTCTCTCTCCATAGTGCTGATTAAAATGGGAAAAGAAAGGGTCTTTAATGTGCTTTTAACACAAAACCTGATTAACCTGAGTTAAACCCGAGTATTTAAGAGTTTTACAAGTTACATTACATTTTGACAGGACTTCAATTTATACATGATGCTACTATTAAGACAGGAAAAGGCAACAAATACATTGTGTACCTCTCTGGTGGTTCAGATGGCCCCTGAGTCTGGCTGTTGACGGTTGAATTGTCTCCAGAGAGGCTTGAGTTCTGGGTGACAGCCTGCTGGCCCAGAGCCCCAGACTGGGAGTTGTTACCTTGGACTCCCATGCTTCCAAAGGGAGGGAACGAGCTGGGCTTGGCAGACTGGATGCTGCTGCCCTGAGGGCCTGAGGAGGAGGAGGAGGAGGGGGTGTTATTGGTGTTGTCTGGCAGGCCTGAGCCACTGTTGCTGGCAGCACTGTTGTTGTTGAGGGCGGAGCCTCCAGAGGCCATTGAGGTTTGGGAGTTGGAGGCGGAGCCTGAGGATTGCGAGGAAGATGATTGGGTGGAAGAAGGGACAGGGGTTGACTGAATGAGAAGAGAGCTGTCCAATGACTGTGTAGCGAGGTATGGAGCTGAAGAAACAGGGAACAAGATGAAGATTAGTGAGAAGTACTCTTTGATATATTTCTGTGACAGCAGGGATAACGAAGAGAGAGAGATGGTTCTTACCGAGGTCATGTCTGCAGACTTGGGCAAACAGTTTGAGCTTGGCAAATGCATCACTGCTGCCACTAGCTGCTTTCAGGAACCAATCACTGACTGGCTGTTCTGAGAGCTTCTTGGCAGCTGCTCCACCCACCCTAACAATGCCATCAGCATGCACTTTGGAGATTGGTCGATGCTGACCAAGCTTACAAGACTGGGCAGAAACAGAAAGAGACTAATCAGAAAGCAGTCCAGAGAATCCAGGAAATGTTAAAAAAAAGCACAAGGCTTCTAATGTCAGTCACATCAAATTATTATAATTTATTATTGTATTCATTATCACACTGGTTTGTTGCAAAAATATTTGACTGTTTACTGAATTCTTCTAGTTATTTACTTATATTGGCTAATGAATCGGAAGCCGCGCCCATTCACAGGAAATAGCTTACTTCCGTGTTAAAGTAAGGTGGACAGTGAGAGACAAAATTAAAGACTGACAAACTCTCTCACCTCGTAGACCGCTGTCAACTCTCTAAAGAAGCTCTTGGCTCCAGAGAGGAGAGCATCACTGTCCGGGCAGAGGACCAGATAGCCCACGTCTCTCTGGGAGCCAAAGGGATCCAGCAGTAGCTTCTCCCAGTAGGGCAGGCCGAAGGGAGACAGCACCACAAAGTCATACTCATACCCAACCAAGAAGGTAGGAATGGGCAGCGGCTCCGGAGACTCATCAGTGCCTGGAGAGAAGTAAAGTCAGAGTGACAGGTGTGTGGTATCAAGGTTGCCCCTGCCAGCAATTTCAAAGTCCACTAACAAAGTCTTGTCAATGGGTAATTTTGAACATTTCCACTCCAAAAATCATGATGGCCTTTTTGCTCAACAAGTGCCCTTGCTGCTTACCATAAGACCCTCTTCCAGCCATCTTGTGAAACTGCTGCCATGTGAGAGGCCCCTGGACTCCCCATGAGCGAACAGTCCTCTTCTTCTGGATGGCATCCTGAAGAACAGGCTGAAGAGAGAGGAGAACTCTCAACACATCCTGAGAGCACAGCCCACTCACATCCACTGCTATAGAGAGAGAGAGAGAGACTTTACATTTAGAGAGAGTTTAATACATATACTCAAATCTGTCAATATTCAACATTTACTACCATATATAAACGTAAGTAGAACACAGATAATACACAGAAACGAATCTTTTACCAAAAACACCAAAACCAAAAAATTTTCATTTAGGCAAAAAAAATAAACTTAGTAAATAATAAAGTTCAGAAATGAGGCATCTCTCAATATTTTAGCCAAAACAATTTTACATATTGCTACTCTGCAATCATTCTTGGTCACAGTGAAGTGTGTCCACACTGCTAAGGTGTTTACCTGTTGTACAATCTACAACATGTGCAATAAAATAAACGCTGCCACTGGCAAAACACATCATCCTAAAGCACAAACTATTTCAAACCATGATTTCAGCTATTTTGTTCAAAAACAGAAAATTCAAATTATTTTTGGTTTCTGAAATTTTGTAGCATCACTAGCAGAACACATAAATGGTAATATGCGGTCAACTGTAAAAGAAAGGACTGATAACAAATAATTGCTCACAGTAAGACCAGGAATGTGTATTAAAGTAAGTAGGATCAACTTTGACCTCAAGTTATCATGGCTATCTTCTCTTTTGTAAGTGTGAATGTCTTCCTTCTATTATGATCATATCTGTAATAATTAAAGTACCAGCCCAATGATGAGTATTGATTTTTATCGTAAACAGAAATGAAGTGAACAAATGGCGAACATGCTCTAATCTCTCACCGCTGCGTTTGGCCCAATGGTGCAAACACGTGCTCTTCACCAGCGTCTCGTCCACCTTCCCACCGGACATGTTATCCATGAACTGCCGCCCGTGTTCTAGAGCCAGGTAACAGTCGTTGTGGAAGTCCCTTTCCTCCACACGCACACATGGTGGTACAGTGGCGCCCCCTGGCCCTTGGGAAGACAGTCCCTCTGGGTCCAACGCCAGCGTAGGGGAGAAGGGATTAGTGCACTGATCCTGCAGGACAGAGATAAGCTCGTCCGGGACTCGATCCTTTCCTCCACCCCCTGTCTTCTCCAGCGACGTGCTCCGTATCGCCTCAAAGCGCTTCTCCGCCTCCTGGCTCACGTCCGAACCCCGTCCGATGATATCCAGCTCGTCTTCCAGGAAGAGGCCGGAGCCATTACCGTAGCGCCGGTTGACAACAGCGCTGAAGCCGCACCCGCAGGGATACTGGGCCTCCATGTTGGGGTCGCTGATGTAGATGCCCACGTCGGCGCCTTTGATGTTCATGTTGCAGACGCAGATGCAGCAGCTGTCGAAGTTGCAGTCCTTGAACAGGTTCATGACAGACTCCGACAGGATGAGGTTGACGTATAGGCTGTGGGCTTCGGGGATGGAGGGAACCGTCGCAGGCTCCACAGAGTTGAGCGGCCTGCAGGTGGAGGGCGTCGAGGCCGGCGAGTACAAGTCCGAGTTCTCATATTTGAGGGAACCTTGCACACTGGCTGGGCCTCTGGGGGTCCGGGGGGTCCTTGGGGTACGAGGGGTGGGAGCTGAGAAGCGAGGCGTGGCAGGGGATGGGAGGATGCTCGTGCCGCTGTTGCTGGGCGGAGCGCTGTTAGACAAGAATGGTGTGTGGGTCTGAGGGGTGTACGTCTGGATATACTCTTGTTCCATAGCATTGTTTTCACTAGAGTGCAAGAAGCAGAAAAAGACAAGAGGTTAATTGGGACATCACTGAAGTCAAACCCTACAACAAATGAGCAACATTTAAAACATCTCGTCTATTCTCACTACCACAGATGATTATTGGATATTAACATCATGAGCTGCAGTACTGTGCTTGTATCCCAAGAAGACCTCTGGGGGGGAGGGAGAAACTATTTTTAGACAGACGGTCCAACAGGCCGCTGTGCAAGAAATGAAAGCACAGCTTGTGCCACATGGACCGTACGTGTGTGCGAGTGTGAGAATGCCGAGTGTGGCTCCCGGTGGCCTTTAAAAACAGGCAGGTGTTTGAAGGTCCCCCATTTGAAGAGGTGGCCCTCTCCCCCAGCTGCTGTGGGTTATAAAAGAAGCCTAACCAGCTCATAAAGGGCTTTTGGACTGACTTAAACAAACGTGGACTTTATGACCAGACTTATCGCCCTGTCATCGACCATTCGCAACACCCCCTTCCTCTCTCGATTTCACTAAATTTCTACCGACAGCAAATATAATGTCCAAGAACACAACGTTCTATTTGCTCTCTGAGATTAATGTATGAAAATAACTTTATCCGATTATTTTTTCATCTGTTTAGATACAGTGCCAGTATAAAGAGACAATACAAGCTCAAGTCTAACTTGAGACTAACAGAATGAAAGAGCATAGCTGAAGTTGACCCTGACACAGGTTCATAACATCACATGAAAAAGCAAACCAGACTACAAGAATACAACATGAATAACAATCAGATGTGGTCATCTGAGCAAACACCAGCTATTCAAATAAACCAGTCCACGAGAAACAGAGTAGCTTGAGTGTGGACCGTGAAGAAGCTGGGAGATAAGCAGCTTCTAAATATAAGAAAATAAAAGGACAGTGGCAGCAGATGGATTTGACAGGCTAATTACCCGTGTGTTAACACCTGTTCTTCGCTTTTATTCTCTATTCGCCATTACTAAGAACAAGAGGTGTGTGGGTGTAACTGATTCCACAGAGCATGAGTTTGTACCTACAGTTCTTGGGTGAATCTTGCCGAAAATTATATTTTACCCCAAAAATCAAAAGGAAAATACCTTTTTTTTGCATTGTGCCATAATTTATGAGAACGAATGCCAAAAAGATATTAAAATGTTACAATTTTTAAAATTTGGCAAGGAAATGTGCTTTACTGTCAGAATTCTTCAGAAATTCAGAATTCAGAAATCTTAATTGCAAAATATATTTTATTTTTATTTGGGGGTGAAATATGGCCCAGACATTTCTTTGTGAGACCCTCTTAGTCCATACAAAAGTCTGTGTAAAGATATGGGTGTTGTTTACACAGTAAGTTCAGTACATTTCACACCAGATGTGAAACTCACCCATCCTTGCTGAAAATGGTCATAGCAGGTACAGAGTTGAGTAGCTCCAGTTTTCCCACTGTCCAGCTGGGCCTGTAAACACACTCATCAGGCAGTTTGATAGGGGGCAGGCACTGACTGGGCAAAGACTTCAGGGGGGCAAACATGGAACAGCCCACAAACGGCTGAAACAACTCAGGCTTGTACACAAATGAGAAGTCCTGAGGAGAGAGAGAAAACCATATTCAATTTGCTGTTGTGTCATTCCAGTTCAATAGCAGTTTAATAAAAAAATTAATTAAAGAAAGCACTTGAGTAAATGCATGCAAGCTAATTTCAACGCAAGTTTAAAGATCATAGATAATTTAGCTGCAAAAAAATGTCAGCTAATAGGGGGCAGGCACTGACTGGGCAAAGACTTCAGGGGGGCAAACATGGAACAGCCCACAAACGGCTGAAACAACTCAGGCTTGTACACAAATGAGAAGTCCTGAGGAGAGAGAGAAAACCATATTCAATTTGCTGTTGTGTCATTCCAGTTCAATAGCAGTTTAATAAAAAAATTAATTAAAGAAAGCACTTGAGTAAATGCACGCAAGCTAATTTCAACGCAAGTTTAAAGATCATAGATAATTTAGCTGCAAAAAAATGTCAGCTAGTATCAAACATGAAGTGCATTCCCATTGGCTGATCATGTTGCTCTGTACAGCATTTTGCTGTCAGTAGAGAATGGAAACGTACAGCACTGCACATAGTTAGGACATGGTGTAGCAGTCTTATTACTTGTCTAACCTTGATTTCACAAGGTTTGGGGCTGCAGAAACTCTCCTCCACCTCGATTTTAAACTGACCACCCAGAGCAGAAAGGCCATCTAGAGTGTTAAGGCCAGAGCCAGGCTCCATACAGCCATACTCTTTGTTCATGGGAGAGTAACCCATGTTGTGCTGCTCTAAAGATGGAGGCGTAGGGAACATCTGGTGTAGATCAGCCGCGCCTGAGGGATGGATGAGCAGAGGGAAAGATGACATGTAAGTGGCAGTACACAGTACATGCATAAATATATTATGTTTTAAATTGTCTCATTTCCTACTTGTTCTCATGAAAAGCAAAATCACTTATTGTCAAAATGTCAAAGTTGCCAAGAAATATAAAAAAATGTTTTGATTCATTTATTTAAAAGTAGGGATGTGCGATATGACGATTTTTGATTGTGGACGATAAAAATGTCTCCACGATCTGCTTTTGAAGAAATATCGTAGTATCGTGCTACAGCGCACATTCAATTTCAATCTCAATATACAGTAGGCTACAACACGACGTCATAGATAATTTAGCTGCAAAAAAATGTCAGCTAGTATCAAACATGAAGTGCATTCCCATTGGCTGATCATGTTGCTCTGTACAGCATTTTGCTGTCAGTAGAGAATGGAAACGTACAGCACTGCACATAGTTGTTTAAGTCTAAAAAGAAAGTAAACAGTTGAGAGTATTAGATGCGTGCAGCTCTTAAAGGGACAGTATTAAACATGCTGTCCATTGTCATTAAAGGGATGGTTCACCGTGAAATTATTTTCTGTTATTATTTACTTACATGTTGTCCCAAACCTGTATTAATTTCTTTCTTGTGCTGAACACAAAAGAAGATATTTTGAAGAATGTGGGTAACCAAAAAGTTGCTGGTCCACATTGAATTTGATAGTAGGAAAAAAATACTATGGCAAATACTGTCAAAACACACAAGGTTTACATATAGACTCAGTTGATTGTCTAAAATGAAAGTAAACAGTTGAGAGGAAAACGGATGCGTGTCGGTATATTAGATGCGTGCAGCTCTTAAAGGGACAGTATTAAACATGCTGTCCATTGTCATTAAAGGGATGGTTCACCGTAAAATTATTTTCTGTTATTATTTACTTACATGTTGTCCCAAACCTGTATTAATTTCTTTCTTGTGCTGAACACAAAAGAAGATATTTTGAAGAATTTGGGTAACCAAAAAGTTGCTGGTCCACATTGAATTTGATAATAGGAAAAAAATACTATGGAAGTCCCTGCGGACCAGCAACTGTTTGGTTTTCCACGTTTTTCAAAATAGCATTTATGTTCAGCAGAAGAAAGAAACTCATTCAGGTTTAAAAAATTTTTTGAGTGAGTAAATGATGGTATAAAAATAAAACACTATGACAGATTTGACAGAATTTTAATTTTTTGGTGGGAACTATTCCTTTAATGTTAATAAAACAACAAAACACAAAAGAGAAAAATCACTCACTACTCTTAACTGAAAAACGTTAATACAGTTGCATTGATAGGAATCAATCAATAGTGTTTTATTTTTATATTTGTTCATTCAACTTCTTGAATGCTCCTGCTAAATAAACCTATTGTACCTTAAAATAAAGCACTGTTGTTTTATTTGTATAATATGTGTATTTATAATGTGTATCTTTGTTCTTATTTTTTTAATAACAAAGATAAAATAATGACAAAGATTTTTATCTTTGCCCACTTTGGCCTAAATATCTGCCATTCTTTTTTATATTTTATTACCTTGAAAGGCTTTGTCTTTATAATATGGAAATTAGCTGTAATGCTCAGACAACTTGCAAAATAGTAAAAACCAACATGACAAAGAATCGTGATAAACTCGTGAATCGTGATATTTCTTTAAAAAAAAAAATTGTGATATGATATTCTTGCCATATCGCCCACCCTTATATAAAAGCATATAGTATTTCTGAACCATTAATGTTTGCACATAAAAGAAAACAAACACCCTGTTCCCACTCAAAGAAATGTGCATGATGTTACTGCTTGTCTGCTTGCAATGTAAAAAATTGTCATGATGGCCAGCAGGGAGCAGTATACAGAGTTTGAATGATGAAGTAAACCCTGTATATTTATAGAGACAGAGACTGTGCTCACTTATACAGGGATCCATTGTGGCTGGTTTCGACTCCTTGCTGCCAAACTTCTCATCTGCTCCATTTACAGCTCTCCGTGCTCCAGGCTATGGAGACATACACAAATTAGCCAAAAATCAGAGCTATGATTTCATTAAAATTACAGCAATTTCTCTACAGAGGAAATAAAACACATTTCCATTGCAATATACCCTTATTTTCAAATAGCCGAGCAATGGTAATTTTATCAGTGATTACATATTGATGATATATTTTAACATCTAATTACGTACGGCAATCAGCTCCGAGCCCTCGCGTGATTGTGAAAATTTGCCAAAACAGCAAAATTTATTTTCACACAGTGACGCAAAGGGGAGACAAAATGGAAAGAGATGGAAAGACAGCTTGATACTAACTGTTTGTTCGTCCTCATCTGAGTTGAATAGGTTGTCCAGGTCTTTGAAGGAGACTGCCAGGTCTGAATCATGTATGAGGCTGGTGGAAGCAGCCCGGTTATGGGCCGCAGCCCGCTGAGCATCTGAGAGAGAGAAAGAGAGAGAAAGCTTAACACACAGGCCTGTTCTCCAGCTTTATCTAGCGTAACCACAGCCTGGGCTTGAGACCATATCAGGACGAGCCCTTTCCCTCACTCAGCGAACACATTTAACCTTTATGGGCAACAATACATTAAACTGACCCAGGCTGTCAACAGGGAAACTATTTCAAAAAAAATAAATGGACTCAGGGTTTGAGAGGGGTTCATGAGAGAGTCACTGGAGTGTAACAGGACAGTCCTTACCATCTGATAGTGCAGCACTGCCATCTTCTCCCTGTAAGAGAGAAAATAAGATAGCAAGTGTTAAAAAGAGACATTATATAATGCACAGATACACAAAGATTGTGTTAGATTAGATACGCAGGGTCCAAAATGTACTTTGACATGTCAATCGCAAATGAGTTGAGACAAAACTAAAACATATACTGTAAAAAGTGTTAACCTCCAAATGTTACCTCAAAGAGCTATTTCTTCAAAATAGTTCTATTTGGTACAAATTCACGTATTTAGGTGATTTTTTGACATGAATAAAACCAGTTAATGTAAATGTTATTTAGTTTCAGTCTAGTCCTCAATATTAGGCACACACTGATTAACTGTTCCACAAAACACAAGATGAAAACAGTCCAGAGTGCATCGGTTCATGAACACATGTTGGTTAACAATCACCTAGAAGCAGCCAACCAATGAGACAAGGTGACAGCAAAAGAAGAGTGAGGGAGAGTGTGAAAGAGAGAAACAGAGTGAGTGAGTGAGTGTTGAAGCATATTTTTATTTTACCACCAAATTATATCTTCCACGCACAGAATAATAAGTAACATTGTAATATAAGAAAACAGCACAGGCTAATGGGACTGCAGCTTTCCCTCAGCGCCTTACAAACCCACCCCAGACCCTTAACCTGCCCCTCATGCAACCTCCACATCTCAGAGCCCACCATTACAATGCAAGCCGCACGCTATGCAGAGATTCATTACGCCGTGCATAATTTCATTACGCTGCAGGCCGTCTCTCTGCATAAAGAGTGTAATCTGTTCCTCTGTGCACACACTTCACATCCTAATGACCAACTCTGTAATAAACGCCTGTACATGCAAATCACTCCGCCCCGTAATCGATAGCAGAACCCTGGGGTGGGGTACAGGAGTTAAGAAAGCAATTTTCTATGTAGACTATGTATTTTACAACAAATGAACGCTGCTGTGTGTGTTTACACGTAACAGACACACGTGTGTTATACATTTTTGTTTGAGTGTGTGCTGCACCATATGGCCTACATTACTTAAAACTCTCCTGTGACAGCAAAAAGTAGCTGTAAGGTTACCAAGACACACAAATGACATGTAATTCTGAGAGTAGGTACCAAAAAAGCTTTTACAAAACAATGAAGTAACAGAGTACAGAGGGACAAAGCTGATTTTTGTTAATCCTTCACAGCTGCCAAAAAGACACTTAAAGTATGTGTGAAAATCCAACAGGAATGGGAGAGACTGTGTTCGCCCCCTCTATTCATGCTCTCTCCTCCACGTTTGAGGGTGTCAGATTCAGATCTCAGATGGGAATCTCCCATGAGCTGAAGACAGCAGACATGATGCCAGCATATTACACGCTACACTGCCAATGGAGAATCTGCGGTGTCTAAAATTCCTTTTCGCATGGAACAAAAGTCCATGTGAAACTGTATTCACAACCCTTTTTTACTTCTGTAATGTTGCATATTTCTAAGTGAAAATGAAACTAGCTTATGAAAAGTGAAGAGCACCCTTACATTATCATTCAAAAGTTTGGGGTCAATAAGCTTTTTACTTTTTTTTAATAAATTAATTCCTTTATTCAGTAAGGATGCATTAAATAGATCAAAAGTGCTAGTAAAGACCATTATAATGCTGCATAAGAATTATATTTAAAACATGCTATTCTTTTAAACGGTTTCATGGTTTTCACAGAAATATTAAGCAGCACAACTTGTGTTTTCAACAATTATAATATTTCTTCAGCACCAAATCAGTGTATTAGAATGATATCTGAAGGATCATGTGATACTGAAGACTGGAGTAATGGCTGCTGAAAATTCATGAAAAAAATACATGAATTGTAATTCAAAAAATACTGTTTTACTGTATTTTTCATCAAATTCAAAATCTTAACAACCACAAACTTTTAAACATTAGTTTATCCCAAAGAGTAGTGCATTATGGGACATCTCTAGCAAGAAACATTGCTCACCTTGTGTTTCTTCCCTGGTTCTCTATCTCCCCCAGCTTTGTCTTTCTTATCCGAGAAAGTGAACTTAACATCTCCGTCAACAAAAGCGTAGGGGTCGACCTCAGGCTCGTGGTCGCCTTCTGTGATGGCTGCAGCCAGGTGCAGGTTCTGTCGCTGCAGGTACGTCTGGATCCGTTCGTCTGAGACCTTGAGCGGCCTTTTGGAGGCAACCATTAACCTGGACAGGACAAAAGAAAAATAGGTCAAACCACGACTGAATTATAATACACTGCTTGGTACCCTTATACTGCCCAGAGACAATTATATCTCCCAGACCAATCAAGTGGGCAATAATTTGGGATTAAAAGATTATTTTTGAGTGAAATTAACACATTCATAGCATAACAGAAAACCTATATTAGTTGACAATAAATCATAATGCTATCTACAAGCTTTGAAGTTCTAATCACTCAATGTCTCTCAAATCTTTACTTATCTATGTTATGTAAAATCCCTCTGTGTTGGTTAAATGGTATGTACCAGCCACTGTCCTTTCCACACAGATCAGACCACTGTAGCTCTGATGGGGGGTGACGGCACAGCACACAGTGGCGCTGGCCAGAGATTAAACCCATTTTGAGACCCCAGAGAGCACAGGGATTACACTGGGCCTTAACAGCAGAATAGACACAAGAGGACACCAGCCAAGTGCATACTGGGATTGCACTGCATACCATTACATCGCGCAGTGGTCAACAGAGACAGCTCTCTAAACCTCTCTTTCCTGATCTTGGGCAACTTTAGGCAAACAACGATCTTACAGTGAAAACATTATAGATGCAAAGTACTGGAATGTTGGAATGTTCACGTATGTCTAAAATTGCTGAAGGAAACTGCATTATTTAAAACATCAAATATATGTGAAGGACCCATTCTAAAACAACATTTTCAAACCAGCCATTTTTTGTTTCTAGTGAGGGATTAGGGGCACATTTTTTAACTTAATACTATCAACAAGCATTCTTCCAGGAAGACAACGGCACGACTGAGCGATGTGTACACTTCATTTTGTCATAACACTGCTGCTTCGTGAATTTATGAGGGGCATAAAGACGTTGCTTTCAATAGCTCTCATCCGCAACGGTTTAGAGGAAAAGTTCATACTACATGAAAATTATTTACACAAACGTGTCCACACATTCTCACACAGGGGCAAATATCAGAACAACCAACAAATGTTCTCCCTTCAACAGATTCAACAAACGCCATTTCATGTTAATAGATGTGACTATACGAAAAACCAAATGTTTACTTTTTTTTAGGATACAAAGTGGCAAAATGCGATGAATGTGCATTCCTCTAACAGTACAGGCATGAGAATTTTAGTCATCATGTATTAGCAAAAATACGGAGCTAACTGCATTGAAACAACAACTTCACGTCTATTGGAAGCAGTGTGGGTAACCGTTTGTTGATTTAAGTTTATGGAGAAAGCAGATAAGATGTACACTTTAGCAGATATTCTTCACACAAGTAAACATGTCACGACTTAGTTGGAGACTGTCATCAAACAGCACTGGCACCGGTGTCAAATGACTGTGCTTTTAAATCAAGGTAACCACATGGGAGGCAAGCTCTCTTGGTGCTTTTCTTGGAAGTCTGAAGGGTTGGTGCATGTTGCAAGAGAGTCAAGTGCTGAGCATGTGTGGATATGAACCTCATTTCACACTTTGTTTATTATTAATTGTAGAAAATTGTTTCGCAGAAAAATTAACCATGTAATTAATTACAGTAGGTTGTGAAGGTTCATTTGTATACTCGTGACTTTTGACGTCAATCCCATTCAAAAATCAAAAATGAATGTCACTTTCAAAACATTCTAAAAAAAATGCTTTTAATAACAACCTTTATGGTCATTGCACTCTTTATCAGGTTACATACACTACCATTCAAAAGTTAGGGATAGTTTTTTGTTTTGTTTTGTTTTTTAGAAGAAATTCATACTTTTTTTCCAGCAAGTATATATTACATTGATCAAAAGCGACATTTAATACATTTATAATGTTACAAAAATATTTATTTTGCAAATAAACGCTGCTCTTTTAAAATGTTAATTTATTAAAGGGGTCATATGATGCGATTTCAATTTTTCCTTTCTCTTTGGAGTGTTACAAGCTCTTGGTGCATAAAGAAGATCTGTAAAGTTGCAAACACTAAAGTCTCAAAACCAAAGAGATATTCTTTATAAAAGTTAAGAGTCAGCCACGCCTACCTAAAATGGCTCGTTCTAACACACCCCCACATACCTACGTCACGATCTGGGAAGATTTGCATAACGCCGCCCAAATGTTCACGCAAAGAAAGGCGGCGTAACTTTTATTCTCACTGTAGTATTGTTGACGCTGCAGCCATGTCCTGAAGAGGCTGTGTGCAAACTACTTTGTTTGGTCTTTTGAGCATAATATACTTATTTCAAAAACAAAAATCTTACCAACCCCAAACTTTTGAACATTAGTGTGCATAATATAAGCAAAAGCCCCTTAATTTTACAGAGAGTGAAGAAAAGTAGTCTCCCAATGTCTCTTTCAGTCTTGTCTCTTTCAATGCCTCTTTCTTGTATAAATCCTTAAGGTCCACAAGCTGTTGTTTAAAAGTTTTTTGTCTAAATCCCCACTTAAACCCCTGAGTGTTTGTATAAATGTGTGAGATGGACCCATAATCTCCTAGTTCACAACAGTGCTGGGCCTGCACATTAGTGAAGTATGATGTCAAAAGGGCGCATCGCGAGAGATTAACATGGTGTGTGCACTCAGAGAAAGAACATTCTACACAGAACAAGAGTGTGTTTATGTGTGTGTTTGAGTGAGCGATGCACGAGGCTACAGCTATTTCAAAACACCGCTCACAAACAGACAAGGACGTTTGGGGTTCAGTATTGGGGGCTCTCGCTAACAAACTCTGGCTGCTGGAAATAAAAAGCCGTGAGCTGAGGGGATTAAGCGGGTCCACAGGGTGGTACCGCTCTCACTTTAGAATCACAGTTACTTAAGCCATTATAACACAACACAAATGCACAATGCAATCCTCCTGGCTGTTTACAGGTTATGGGGAGCTCTAAATCCTAAAGATATGTACTTTCAGTTCACTGCATTGTTTGAGACGTAAGGGAGGTTTTAAAAGAGATTGTAAACAAAATATCAAGAGCTTGTAACACTCCAAAGAGAAAGGAAAACTTGAAATCGCATCATATGACCCCTTTTAAAGGGAACATATATGGAGGAATATATTCTTTAATTTTCCTTAACTTTCCTTTTGAAAACACTGCAGCCAAAAATCACAAAGATTGCAAAAGGTCTCTCCCAATCAAAAAGCTCATTTAAACTAACCTGCAAAAATAGTTTTTTCAGAAACCAAGTTATCAGATCAACGGGTATGACGACCCAAATTTGCATATCACCATCTATTTGGTATTCAGTAAACTGGCCCGCCCTGTTGAGCAATGTCTAATCATAACCGAGATAATTTACATATAGTTGTCTGTTTGTCCAATCAATGAAAGACAGAGGGAAGCGTTTTCTCTATTATTTTTGCTTGGTGGCTTAGAAATGACATTTACTTTCAAGTGTGTGCATGAAATTGTGTGTGTTGCATGAAAACGTATGTGATACTCACTCAGTAACAGACATAATCCCTTCAGCTCCGAGTGACGCTTCTTCTCGGAGTTTGTCTCCTGGTAGTAACGGCGTGGGAAACTCTGCATCTTTCCTACGGGGCAGGATGAAGAATCTCCACGGCACGTGACTCCCGTCGTCATCCAGGTTTACTGCTGCACTGACGTACGGAGTGGGCTCCAGGGGCTCGGGGTACGCAGGGGGAAAAGGTTGAGTGAGGGGCTCCAAACGGGCATCATCTGGGCCTTTTTGGGGCAGGAGGCATGGCTCTGCGGAAGGAGGGTAAAAATGTTGGCTGTGTGGTGTGGAGGGGTTTTTAATGGCGTCTGAGGCTTCCTCGCCACGTTCGCAAGGGTGAGGGCTCAGTGGTGGTGGCTGAGGAGAGCCGACCATCTCCGTCGGGCCACTGTTGCCCACGGTAGCTCCACCCCCGCTGTGCAGTTGTGGAGGTTTCGAGCCAGTGCTCACATCAGATGGGCGAAGCCCAGGAAACCGTCCACCCTCTTGACCTCTAAGAGCCAAGCGCTGACCCGCAGAAGCGTCGGTTTCCATTGAGACATCTTCACAGACTGAGTTGCGATGGTGGAAGGGCATCTGTGGGCGTTTCTGCTGCTTGTCACCTTTTTCGGGCTTCTCCCCGGCTTTGTGCTTGATGGGCAGCTGCTGCGGCTGACCGGCGGTGGGAGGCTGACCAGGCGTGCTGCTTGCTCTCTGCTTTAGGGTTTTGTGCCTGATAAGATAAAGAAATATTTTAATACAACAGATACATGAATTTAGGGCTGGGTGATATGGCAAAAAAATAAAATCTCGATTTTCTCAGAACATTTGACCGATTCTCGATTTTGTATGATTTTTAACAAGTCAACTTGAAAATTTAACTACAACATGATTCAAGTAACTTTTTCTTTATTAACCCTCAAGTTAAAGAAAATTCTATTCTAAGTGCACCACACATTAAATTGTAATCATGATGGAAATGTTAAACAAATCACTTGTTAAATATCTTTGCAGAAAAGATGCATGAACTACAACTGCATCTTGTACAAACTTGTCTAATACATATTATATGTTCAGAAATAATAAGAGAAAAATGCTTTAAAAAAATCTTAAGTCAATGTAATTCAAATTCAAAATGACTGAAGGTATAACGGCATTCTAAAAACGCGGCGCTCTAGTTATTAAAAGAGGTTCAACTCCCATCTTCTTGCATTTTTTCCTATTCCACTGCCCGAGTCGCATCTCTGTCAACACAAAAGCTCATTCTGTGTGAATGGCATCTAGCGATATATTCTACTTATGGTCTTTCACAGAGCGCATCACACGTGAGCAGTTAATCACGTGTGCCGACATGCGGTTGGATCGTTCTTTTCTCTTTACTGTTATTGTCAAAGTGTCTAATTCTAACATTTAGTAATATTTGTATTCAAAATCGCGATTCCTCGATTTATAAAAAAATTTAATCGTGGCAAAACATAAAATTTGAATTAATCGATAAAATCGGAAAAATTGCCAAGCCCTACATGAATTATGAACTGATGACATCATTAATAAGAAAGCCTATTACCAGAAATCATATTTTTTTATTCATTTCTTTTCACTGTGAGAGTTCATAACATTTCTTTTCAGGTTTAATAGGCCTTTGAGACTCGTAACAGAGAAATGTAACGGTTTCTTAATTAGCTCCTTATTTAGAATTTCCTAACTATTATTGGATCCGTGAAAAAACACTCTTTGAATAAAGATTCTCTGCTTGTCGAGTCCAAGGACAGGTTTAAGAAACCACCCTTTTAACAACAAGCGCTCCACTCCTATCAGAGTCTGTCTGGCCTGATAACGTGTGTCCAACACTTTCTCAGAGATATGTAAAGCCCAGCAGCTGCCAGAGTTTCCCTGTGGGTTTCCTTGTACATTGTCTCTCGTTTATAATGTTGTTCTTGAGAGGCAGTCACCATCTCAAGCTCCACAGTATCTCAACACACAAGCCTATAGCTACAAACGAAAGCTTTAAATACACTGCTTTCATCCCTCCCTTTAAAATGCAAGGCTTTCACAACAACCACTCATGTCACAAAGCCAGAAAAAATCAGTTTGCTTCAGATATTTTACAGTGTTTTACATGTATGCATGTTAGTATTTAAAAGAGCGGCTAAAGCGTGTAGTAGGGCTGCACGATATATCGAAATTATCGAAATATTGCAAATGTAAATCCAAGAAAGAATGTGAAACAAATTGGTTATATAATTTTCATTTTTAAATATTTAAAAATATCATTTAAATTGACTTTACACACTTTAAGCAATATCGTATCGCATATCGAATATCGCATTTTTTAACAAGGTATCGCATATCGCATTTTTCTTCAATATCGCACAGCCCTAGCGTGTAGTGTGAGGAGTTTGCTAATTTAGCAGGCTAATTTAGCCTGTATACGTAAACAAAGAAACCACAGGCTACTTTGAGGTTGGAGCTGAGATGGTGTGCATATGTAGACCTATGTGACAGTTTGGAGTCAATAAGATATATAGTACATACATAGAGCAGTAGATTTATATATAAACATAAGTATACCAACACAAACTGACAAATTTAAACTTAAACTGCAAAAACATAAGAACTAAAAAGAGTTACATCCAGAACACAGGTGAGTCAAGGGTAAATTTATACCCTTTCATATTCACAGGTAAAACAATTTCACATGTACGCACACAATAACACACAACTCACACTCACACACAAGCAGAATGCTAAACAAGCAGAAAGGATCTTAGTCGACGCATGGTCATTTTCACTTCACTGGGGGACTCCAAGTTTCATCACACCTCTCATGCTGGGTCTCTTCCAAAAAACATATTTGGCAAATGACAACAGTCCCATGGCGTCTGGCCTTCTCTCTTGGCCTAAACTGAACAGCTACTCAATGAAGAGAAAGAGAAGACGACTAACAGCATGACCACACAGCACTACGTGACATTAGGTCTGTGTTAACGTTACTTACAATGCTTCACAGTGTTTGGGCTCATTCTTTTTAGTACTTGCTTCTGGTTTATAAAACCATTATCTACCTGAAGTAGGGTACATCTGGACTATGTTACAGTTCTACCATTGAGTTGGTCAGTGAGTCTCATTAGATCTGCAAACACAAGTTATCATTTTCTGCCACACACATGGTTTATTAGTAGCCTGTAACCAGCGACATTCTGAACAGCCCGTCACAGAATAATTACATCATTAAACTCAATTGCAATATCTGCAGACTCTTTTAAGAGAGGACAGACTTATGGGTTTTTTTTTTCTTTTGTGATGCAAAATATAAAATCTTAAATATTTTTTTAAAACTAAGCATCTTAATTTGTTTCTTTTTGTTTTCATTTGTTCTATTGCTTATAATTGTTTTCTTTAAAAGTTTCCAGATACTTCTAAATCTGACTACAAGATGATTACAAGAAAAACTCAGGAGCCACAAAACCATGCAATAACATGCAAGAGGAAGGACCAACTGAGCTACAAGACTAGGTACAGCCTGATACATTATATATAGATATACATGCAGACTCTGAATATTAAAGCAAATTAATTTCTACTCTCTATCAGAGAAGCAAATAAGGGCCTGTTTACACCTGGTCACTTCATGCGTTTTTTCTGATCGGATAGCTATCCGATCGTGAAAAGACCAGGTGTAAATGTCCTCCGAAGCGCATTTGAGACAGATATAAATCCGATCGCTCAAACCACTTCAGGAGGTGGTCTGGGCCGCTCTGTCAATATGGGGTGCTGTGTGTACATTAATGAGGAAAAAAAATTAACTTAAATGATTTTAGCAAATGGCTGCAATATAACAAAGAGTGAAAAATTTAAGGGGGTCTGAATACTTTCCGTACCCACTGTATGTAAATTTTACTCCTCCCAAAATGTTAAAATAATAAACGTGTGAGAGCGTGTTATAGGCTATATGACATTAGTCAGACTGCACTAATGCAACACGCATCGCTGCGGTCGAGTAGCTGAGTATCTCTTCAGCAAGCCGACGCGCAAACTGCCATGAATGAAACTGAAAGTAAGACGCAGACGGTCAACACAATCATCTTCATTAAAAGTAGTAAGACAAACGTATCTTCCAGTGCTGATGCCGCGCACTCTCCTATTGCGGTCTTTGATCTTGAAATGAGCTGATAATTAATAAAATGCAGCGCTTATCTTTTGATTTCGTTGACGTGAACTCCGTTAAATTTAAATATAGCGCGGGAATTGAAGATCGGATTTATATCCGTTTTGCGACAACACATTTATGTGGCCAAGTGTAAATGGAAACGTTTTAACAAATCAGATAGATATCCGATCAGCGAAAATGCATTAAATGACCAGGTGTAAACAGGCCCTAAAAGAATCAGAGCAGGACTTGTCACCATCACTCAAAAAACAGTTTTTCCGGTTTTCACAAAGAGCTTATTTTAATACTCCATGATAAATGTATTGCCTGTCATTTTACAGAGTGACAGATGACACTACAAGAACTGAAAAGCGATTAGTGGCAGCAGCAGCAGCAGCAGCATGGTTAAATAACGACAGCCTATGAGAATACAGGACTGAGTGAATGTTCATGTCTGTACCTTGAACATTTGCAGCTTGATCTCTGTGTGGAGTCGACAAAGTCCCAGGTGCCCACTTTCATCAGCGTCTCCTCCTCGCTGGTCCCATTGGAGGCTGTGGCAGAGAATTTCCGTCTGCAAAGACACAATGAAACAAGATTGGAATCAAACTCTCTGAATGGCTTCTAAATCTCAAAATCTATGGTACTTTGTTGAAGCTAGTTGTACGTTTTAGTCCAGTAAATATCTCCCAGTGTCAGTTTATTTTTAAAAGTCAAATTCTGTGTACATAGTGCTAAGTTGTGGTTAAACAAAAGTTTATAAATATTTTTTACTGTTATTGCAACAATTTTATTGAACACACATTGACCTCTGAGTAAAGGCGGATATGTCTATAGGGTTATCAGCCTAATTTAAACTGTAAAACAATTATGAAATGACAAAATAAATTAACAGTATATATTGTTAAAATCTAAAATGTGACAACATGTCCTGAAATGAATGAAATTTTAATTTAGACAGTGTCCAAAAACTGTTCCCAAGATGGACTGAACTGATCAAACAATCACACTTTTGTGCAAATTCTGACTCAAAACCTCTTTTGAAAAGTTCCCTAATCTCGATCACTAATTGTTTTTGTTTTTTTTACCTCAATCACTAATAAAACATTCTGTGGCTCAGATATGCTTTGTACAAGTTTTAAAAGGGCTTTGTTGCTCTGTGCTTGATTTAGCATGACTTGTGAAATGAGATGATCTGATCTCAGATTTACTCTGAGCACACTTACTTGTTCTGAGCTCGGTTGACGTTGCACTCCTGCCAAACGCTCTCAACCACCTGACTTGCCATACTGCGTGGAATCTTGCCACCGTGATGACTGGTGCTGTCAACACTGAATCCATCCATCGCCACCGGCAACCGCATCCACTTCTGTGCCAAGTGAGAGTGAACTAGAGAAAGAAAGAAAAAGACAAGAAGTTTGAGAGTGTAACGGAAATGAGATAGGCAAGCGTTTGAGTCAAGTTTGAGGCATGTTTACCTGTCTGAGTCTCCTCAGGTGAGGTGGGAGGAGTCAGGGTCACTGAAGAGATGGCGGGGTCACGGTTTGAAGCAGGCACTTGATGGCCATTTGAATAGACAGCAGTGCAGTGCGAGGACCCCGTAGGTGTGACAGTGGGGATGTCTGACTGCGGGACTAACACCAGGCATGCAGGATACACCATGCGCACACCACCTGGAGAAACGGCCACACATTAACACCTTATGAATGCACACTTTGGGGGTAAAGAAAAAAAGAAAAAAAAGTACTAAACATGATAACCACTGCAATATTATATTACATTTCTCCAGTATTTTCAGCAAACATGTATTGCTCCCACAATGCAATTGGTTTATTTACCAGCCTTTTAAGTAAAATATATTTTATTCCAACCCACCAACAAGCACTTCCACTGCTGACAGGGAGTCGTCCTCCCAGTCAATGTCCTCCATTTTGTCCTCTGTGCTCTCCTTGGATGTCGGGCTGATGGGATAGAACTGGTTCCATTCTTCAATGAGCTTCTGTGTCGGAGGGTCGGACAGCTTGAAGGACTGACCGGTCAATGTCCCGTTCAGTCCAAATGGACTCAGAATCACTACAGCGAGAATAAGAGAAGCGATTTAGTCATACACACTACCTACAGCACAGAACACAAGAGATATTGGGCAGCATTGGCATAAAGGTCAAGAATCTGGGACACAGGCCTGTCACGATTATCTGATCTAATCGAGATTATTTGAGATAATCATAATCATTGTGCGCTTTTAATCTCAATCACAGATTGCCATTCAAATAAGGGAATTTTATTATTGTGTTATAATATGTTTTACTTTTATTTTTACTCATAATATTACAATTATTGTTGTTGTTATTATTTTACAGTGTTAATGGGAAGAGCTATCACACACAAACTGTAAAAAATTATAATAATAATAAATTATCAGCTGAAATGATACATTTATAAATATAAAATAAAAAGTTTTTAATTTTAAGTAATATAAAAATATCTATATATTATACAATTAACAATTTAATAATAAATATTTATAAACATTTAAATATTTAAAATATTAGGTCATTCTAATATATGCAATATTATTTCTGTACAAAAGACAACAAGAAATCAAAGGTAAAGGCTTGTGCCTTCTCACACTGTGAACGACACGAGCAAAAAGGCTATTAAATTGTTAGCTGCAAATTAGTTGTAGGATATTTTTTTTTTTTAAACTCATAATTGTGACAGCACTAGCTGGTACACAAAATGAGTTACAAAGACTATGTAACATGCATCGTTGAATAAGCATATTGCCCTTGAATAAATCAGTATCCTAGTATCCTAATTCGTTTTTGTTTATGCATACAAGTACTTGTGTTAACATGACAGTAGCAAAAGAACCTACAAAACACAATCAAGTGGCATTTATCTGGAGTTGTCCTTGGAAAGTTGCCCCAAACTGGTTCTTACAACGTAGAAAGCCCAGCATATGTAGCAGAAACACATGAAGACTAAGGAGCGTGTAATCAGAACAGGGCCAAAGCAAATGAGTCTATGAAGCGAGGAACACTGTACAAACACTCCCGCCTGGCTTTGTGCCAAGTGAGAGTGAACTAGAGAAAGAAAGAAAAAGACAAGAAGTTTGAGAGTGTAACGGAAATGAGATAGGCGTTAAGCGTTTGAGTCAAGTTTGAGGCATGTTTACCTGTCTGAGTCTCCTCAGGTGAGGTGGGAGGAGTCAGGGTCACTGAAGAGATGGCGGGGTCACGGTTTGAAGCAGGCACTTGATGGCCATTTGAATAGACAGCAGTGCAGTGCGAGGACCCCGTAGGTGTGCTGTACAAACACTCCCGCCTGGCTTTCTCTCAACCGCTCCCTCCACTTCTGTTCCTCATTAACTGTGGTCTTAAATGACTCCTCCACTGCAGCCGGGTCTCTTTCCTTCCTCCTTTCTCTCAGACACTTTCCGAAAGCCTTTCATATCAACACAGCCTCCAGCTACTGCCAAGCAGTGCTCATTCTGAGCCCATAAACCAACTTAAATAAACAGGTCACTCAGAAGGAGAGAGACAGAAACTGGGTGAAAAAAAGACAAGGAAAGCGCACAAGACAAGGTGAAGCACAAATGTGGAAGCAACGGCATCAGTTTTCACTCTATTGGTAAGAGTGGCTCTGTTACATGCTGATTTCATGCCTAAAAAAAAATCAACTAAACACTGAGGTAGGTAGTCACAAATTTTCCCAAAGGAATCTCATTCTGTACTTGTGTTGTGTTTCTTTAACTGCCTTGATATATTGATCCACGTATTAGGGGTTAGGAGGAGGAAGGAGCTTCCAGGGAGGAAAAGGAGGGGGAGCAGATGAATCCATCCCGTGTCCTTCCATTAGCCGGCTCATTCCATGGCCTTCATCGCACAAATACATAAAAGCCACAATGACAGAGGACACCTCCGTCCATCCGGAAGAGGTATGGGAAGAGGGAATGGGGGCAGGGGGATGCTATACAACTGGAAAGGAGGCACGATTCATCTTTAATGGGTTACGGCGGCTTAAATCTAAACACTCTAACAGAGATCGTTATCCTGGCTTCAAAACAGAAGCCTCCAAAATGCATTATTTCGAAAAAACAAGCTGTAACCAGATGTAAGAAAACATGCACGGCTCGTTCGCAGGGAAAAATGGCTCTTTTAATATCTGACAGATCCCTGATCGAGCCAAGGTGAGGGGGCGGAATTCGTTTGGCCTCTGGATGGCTATCTTGTCACAACACATTAAAAAAAAAAGACTCCGCTAATACGCAAAATATTTACAGAAAGAAAGCCCCACGTTGAGCTCTTCAGAGAGGTGGTCAAGCAGAAGATCAGAATTTGCATGGCTGGGGTGCTTGAAGCATTGAATCCACTAAAGAGTTATCCAAACGTCGGCCATCATTTGAGAGGGGTCTGCTGCTCTGGTCCGCATTTGATTGGGGGCATCACACAGATATAAAGCAATTTTCAGACAAACAGGCAAACAAATGTATTCCAATATCACACTGTTCACCTCACATTTATTCTGTCAAGCAATCTGTGCATTACCAGTCTCTCTCTCGCGCTCTCTTCTGCTCGGTTAAGTGAGCTATGAGTTCATTACACCCCTCTCACTGCTCTTTATGAGGTCATAGTCGCAACACTCGCACGCTCACTAATCCGAGACTGTCAGAAACGGTGAGCAGCAGACCAAAAGAGATCGAGAGAGAGCGGGCGAGAGAGAAAAAGGTCAGCTGGTTCCAATTGACACATCACACATTCCTGATGCACTGCAAAGGTTATTTCCCCATCAAAAGGATGAATTACGTTTTTAAAATGTTAATTCGCAGGAACTGCAAACAATCTCAATTATGCAAAACAATGGCAGATCTAGATCTAGTGCACGGCTGTGGATGATGTAGATTGGTCAATACAGCCTTCCAGCCAAGCTAAAATGAATGATACTGGATGAATTTCATTCAAAAGTGAGCGTCACAAAATAAAAACTATAAGGAATATTTCCCACTGACAGTTCTTGGGTGCATAAGAGCAACTGAGGGCTTTGAAATCCCAGGTAAGGTCTTAAAGTCAGCATGAAACGGAAATTGCTATCGTCTTTTCCTCCCTATAGTGACATAAATCCAAGTGAAATGGCTTTCCAAACGAAAAAAGAAAGGAAAAAAAGGAGGGTGGGACTTGATTTTGTCCATCAGGAATTGACTGGATCGTTGTTGTTTGCTAATTGCTGCGATCTCATGTGAGTGACAGACTGCTGGAGGGAAGCCTTAGTGCCCAGCCCTCACACCAGTCAACACAAATCATCAGAGAAGAGATGGTGTTGAGAGGGGAATGGAAGTTGTTTTTGACTGAAGATTTTGAAATGTGATTGAGAAAATAAGAATTGTTCGTTTTGGTTTTATGGTGACTTTAAAAAGGCCTAAAATCTCCTAAAGTGCAAGGATTTCCCACCCAGGGACACATGATCAGAAATGGCAAAATGCCTTCCTTAACATGACCATCACTAACAGCCCTTGGGAAATCCCACTAAGCTTTACTATTCGACTTTAGTAAGTTGTTATTTTTGTTTTCTTTGCACACAAAATGTATTTAGTAGCTTCATAAAATTAAGGCTGAACCACTGGTTTTACATGGACTATTTTAACAATGTCCTTACTACCTTTTCTGGGCCTTGAACGTGGTAGTTGAGTTGCTGTCTATGCAGGGACAGAAAGCTCTCGGATTTCATCAAATATCTTAATTTGTGTTCCGAGGATGAACGAAGGTCTTACAGGTTCAGAACGGGGGGAGTAACTAATGGCAGAATTTTCATTTTTGGGTGAACTATCCCTTTAATACTTTGTTACATAAAAATAAAAACTTCAAATCATATAGTTTTGTTTCAGTTTAGGCTAGGGTTTGGTTATTATTATTGCACATGTCAATATCAACAGCTATTTAAAGGAGTCATATGATGCTATTTCAATTTTTCCTTTCTCTTTGGAGTGTTACAAGCTCTTGGTGCATAAAGAAGATCTGTAAAGTTGCAAAGACTAAAGTCTCAAATCCAAAGAGATATTCTTTGTAAAAGTTAAGTCTCAACCACGCCTACCTAAAATGGCTCATTCTAACATACCCCCACATGTCTACATCACGATGTGGGAAGATTTGCATAACACCGCCCAAATGTTCACGCAAAGAAAGAAGGCGCAACTTTTATTCTCACTGTAGTATTGTTGCTGCCGCCATGTCGTGAAGGCGCTGTGTGATTCGTTGTGAAAGCGAAACTAC